TAGTGTGGAAACGACAAGGGACACATGAGACGCCAAAGAAAAGCTGTCATGGACTCAGCAGAGAGCAATAAGTGTCGTGGAAAGTTGGTTGCATCGCGCACAGAGAGGTCAGAGTCAAAGTCCCTGAAAACGATCCTGACAGCGATGGGGATGGCAATTGTGTTAGGGGTGGTGTGTCAGTGGTGGGGATGGTGGCAGTGGCTACGCAGACCATCACCATCGCCACGACCACCACGATCATCTGCATCCGTACGTGCGGTGAAAACTGCTACTCTGCTACTTGGCTACGACAACGATTTTATGATGGAGGACTAAGACGGAGCTAATTTGTGCATGAACGCTAGCGGACAGCTTTGCAGGCAAACCTGAAATCACACTGCTTCGTGGTGAGGTCCTGAATGACTCAAGCTCTACTCGACTCGTTGAGACACGGCTCCCGGGTAATTCCACGGGTACAGGCATGGGCGGCGCATCACCCCCGGTGAGGTCGTTGGACAAACGGCCTTGGATCGGTTCCAAACCTTGAACGCATGATGCCCAGAGCAGAGGGCTTTGTCCATGTTCATGTACGGTTTAGGGTTTAGGGTATATAGGAGCCTTGATATGTAGAATCGCGCTTTGTGGCACGTAATTATAGTATGCACTTCCGGATCCGATGCGGTACCGGGCCCCAAACATCCCTCTCCTCACAAGAACCACCAGCCCAGGATACAGTATCATTGTGCCGTCACGAATATCGAGGCTCCCACATCTAGGGTGTTGGTGAGCGTGTAAGGAACGAGTTACATAAAGAACGACGAAAGGAAGATTCGAATAGCAAGGATATTGACAGTGAATCCCATCGGGACATGAATGTGCACTTCTGAGAACGCTTGGCCGTCGACTCGTCACGTGTCTATATGCAACCTGCTTGTAGATGTCGGCAGGGGTCACCTGAGGCTCCAGCCGCAGACTAGGTTTGATGGGAGGCCACAAGGGGTGTTTAAGATTCTTGGGTAGGGATTCTATAATATGAAGCCTATTATGGGAACCCTAATCCCTACTCAACCCCCATAGGCTAAAACCCCTTTTGGCCTCCTATGAAGATCCCCTCTAGGCTCTAAACACTGTATAGAACCCTTATAGATCCCTTTAAGGAACCCCTATAGATCCCTTTCAAGGAACCCTAGGGATCCCTAACCCCCATAGGCTAAAACCCCTGTTGGCCTCCTATGAGGGTTGCAAGAATCAGGGCCTTCGGGTGCTGAGGTCTCGCACCGTGCAGCTTTGGCCTGCGGGTGTACATAGGTACATATACTATGCAGTATAATACAGTCCGTTTTAATTTTACACTATGAAACGGTCTAACATAATAATAGTAGTATGACGTAGTAACAGTATTATACAACAGAATATACAATAGGCAGCAGCTTGGCGGAGTGCACGAGCTTTTCGGCAGTCAGGGTCCCCTTTGTAGGATCACCACAACCGTACCAACGGCGATGCAGCTGGTTGCGACCAATTAGGGTTTCGGGTTCAGGGCTCAGGGTTTGGGGATGTTTGGGGTACTGTCGAGAGCCAATCTCATAGCAATTCGAGCATGGAAGAACAATACTTACCTTTAGTTAGTAGGGAATGGAAGAATGGTAGTAATAGTAGTCATAATTGTACCCCATTCCTCCATTCCCTACTAACCAAAGGTAAGAATAAGCTCTGTCTGAGCAGCAGTAGCGGGCCGGTGCGGATCCGCCACTTGCGACAGCTCCTCTGGAAGTTTCGGCTGCTGCGTAATGCCTGGGCTCGCAGGGATTATGGGCTCATGGTTTCGGATTTAGGCTTTGGATCCTGGGTTCAGGGTTTATGGTTGTAGGTGGGTTCAGGTTCCTGACACTTTTCGAAGTGCTACTGTTGATGATATACATCCTGCATTACCGGAAGGACACTAAACTATGGGAATTACGGTATATTCCTTTCTA